AAGTCGCCAGTTCTCAGCTTCCAGCTCCACAGATTGCTCCGCATACTTCAGTTGCACTCGAAACTCGCCAGTTCTCAGCTTCCAGCTCCACAGCTACTCCGCGTACTAAAGTTGTACTACAAAGTCGCCAGTTCTCAGCTTCCAGCTCCACACATTCCTCCGCGTACTAAAGTTGTACTAGAAACTCGCCAGTTCTCAGCTTCCAGCTCCACAGCTACTCCGCGCACTAAAGTTGCACTACAAAGTCGCCAGTTCTCAGCTTTCAGCTCCGCAGATTGCTCCGCGCACTAAAGTTGTACTACAAAGTCGCCAGTGCTCATCTTCCAGCTCCCCAGAAACTCCGCGTGCTAAAAGTTGTACTACCAAGTCGCCAGTTCTCATCTTCCAGCTCCCCAGCTACTCCGCGTACTAAAGTTGTACTACAAAGTCGCCAGTTCTCAGCTTCCAGCTCCACAGATTGCTCCGCATACTAAAGTTGCACTACCAAGTCGCCAGTTCTCAGCTTCCAGCTCCACAGCTACTCCGCGTACTAAAGTTGCACTACAAAGTCGCCAGTTCTCAGCTTCCAGCTCCACAGATTGCTCCGCGCACTAAAGTTGTACTACAAAGTCGCCAGTTCTCAGCTTCCAGCTCCCCAGCTACTCCGCGCACTACAGTTGTACTACCAAGTCGCTAGTTCTCATCTTCCAGCTCCCCAGCTAGTCCGCGTACTGAAGTTGTACTACAAAGTCGCCAGTTCTCATCTTCCAACTCGCCAGATACTCCGCGTACTACAAAGTCGCCAGTTCTCATCTTCCCTCTCCCCAGCTACTCCGCGTACTAACGTTGCACTACCAAGTCGCCAGTTCTCATCTTCCAGCTACTTCGCGTACTAAAGTTGTACTACAAAGTCGCCAGTTCTCAGCTTCCAGCTCCACAGATTGCTCCGCGTAGTAAAGTTGTACTAGAAAGTCGCCAGTTCTCAGCTTCCACCAGACAACGGAGCGAGATCTATTGCAATTTACAATAAAGACAGCGCCGCAGCCGACCAGCGGCGACCACAGCCGACCACCGGCGACAACGCAACCGCCAGACCCTCTAAGAGAGCGAGCTCTACTGCAATTCGCAATAAGAAAGCGCCGCAGCCGACCAGCGGCGACCACAGCCGACCACCGGCGACAACGCAACCGCCAGACCCTCTAAGAGAGCGAGATCTACTGCAATTCACAATAAGACAGCGCCGCAGCCGACCAGCGGCGACCACAGCCGACCACCGGCGACAACGCAACCGCCAGACCTTCTAAGGGAGCGAGATCTACTGCAATTCACAATAAGACAGCGTGCGACAAGACCCTCTAAGAGAGCGAGATCTACTGCAATTCACAATAAGACAGCGCGCGACAGTCTCTGTGTGTGTTGTCTCGGTGTGTGTGGTCTCTGTGTGTGTTGTCTCGGTGTGTGTGGTCTCTGTGTGTGTTGTCTCGGTGTGTGTTGTCTCGGTGTGTATTGTCTCGGTGTGTGTTGTCTCTGTGTGTGTGTGGTCTCGGCGTGTGTTGTCTCGGTGTGTGTTGTCTCTGTGTGTGTGGTCCCGGTGTGTGTTGTCTCGGTGTGCGTGTTGTCTCTGTGTGTGTTGTCTCGGTGTGTGTTGTCTCTGTGTGTGTTGTCTCTGTGCGTGTTGTCTCTTGGAGGCGCGGGAGGCGGGAGGCGGGCTCGGGAGAAGCGGGATGAGACATAGAAAAGAAGAACCCCACACTAAGATGTGGGGAAAAACAATTTGCTTTTGAGTTACTAATGGCTAGGGCCTCCAACCTACTAGCGATGGCCTCCAAACTACTAGCGACGGCCTTCAACCTAAGAGCGCTTGAGGCAGCGAGCTGAATGGAGCTCTGGAAGACATCCACCCGAGCAGAAGTTTTTTCGCTTGCCATCCTCATGGCGGGGAGAAGCTCGTTGACCTACCTATTAGGTTGGAGGCCATTGCTATTGGAGGCAATCTAGCTTTCCTGCATCCCATGTTCGGCTACCTCACAGCCTACCCCCTCCGTTTAACATTGCTCTTGATTGTGTGAAACGATCTTGTCGAAAAAGAAGAACCGAGAAGTTTTTCGTTACGATCAGCTTTTGCCAGGTGTCCTTTCAATCGGGTGGATTTCCAACGTCGCCTGGCAAAGCAAAAGGCTTGTTCAGTTGGCTTCAAACTTGATTAACTTAAATACAATCGATGGCCTCCAACCTACTAGCGAACTAGCGACGGTCTTGGCTCGGCCGTTCCCAGTCAAGGTGTGTTGGGGGCGAAAATTTCATCAGGCGCACTTTTTTCACTGTGGCCAAAAGAAGCTCTCAAGTTCTGAAGTTCGGTTCTTTTTCTAACAAGTGCCACGCTAGTAGTAACAAGTGCCTTACTAGTAGCAACAAAAAGCTTCTTGTTACTACCAGTAAGGCACTTGTTACTAGAAGCGTGGCACTTGTTACTACTAGCTTCTTGTTACTCGAGTTCTGAAGTTCGGTTCTTTTTCTGTTACCTTCTTTGTATTCTAGTAGCTTCTTGTTACCTTCTTTGTTTTACTTTGTTTCACATTGTCTCCGTTTATTAAAGCCGGCAAATGTGCTGCAGCGGGGTGGGCCCAAAGGCTCCGGGCTGGGAAGGACTGCTCATGAAGACCGCCTTACGCTACAACCTGTGGTGTGTGTGAAGGGCAACTAGAAGTTCTAACCGAGCCCCTTTTTGAAAGACATCAAGCAGGCCAAAAAGACTGGCCGAATTTGCGGGTGAGCCCAACGATTTAGATTGGAAGACCACCCAGGGGCAGCCGTGTGGGCACACTGGGTTGATGGCCGCCATGCCGGGCTGCCTCTCTCAGTGTGAGATGAGCAGATGGCCAGCAAAGGACCACGGCCGGACTATGGAGGGGCTTGGGCGATGAGGGATTCCTCTAAGCGGCGTGTGGTGGCGCTCGCCAGGGAAACCAGACTGGGGGGAGACCATCGCCAAGGAGATTGGAGGGCAGTCGAGAGGATCAACATTGTGACGAAAGGTCGAGAAGGGCATCACCTTAGGACGATCATGGACGAATTCCTTCGGACTCCTGGATTCCAACAGGCGTTCCTGACTGAGAGGGTCCGCCGAAGGTTGGAAGCACCCCCAAGAAGGATGAGTGAGGTGGACCAAGGCCAAAAGGTGACGATCAGGCAACACATCCAAGACCGGAAGAAGGTCTTCGACTTTCAAAGCCAGGGGCTATGGAGCACTCAGGATTGGTCGGAGTGGCGCCAGTGGCCTGGCACGTGATCTTTGACCGGCGCAATGGAAGGCGCGGAGGGCATTTGCCGTGGGTTTGGTATGGCTACACCGTCTTCATGACGGCGACATAGTGGAAGGGGCTTGGGCAGGTCCCCGCATTGGGGATTGATTTTGGGGCCAAAGAGCCCTGTAGCACACATACCCGAAAGTCAGCGTAGGACGCAGAGTGTGGTTTGTGTGACGGGCAAGTGTGCCAATCGAGGGGTGTGAACCGAAGCCCGTTTTTCAAAGGCATCAAGCAGGCCAAAAGGATTGGCCGAACCTGCGGAATCAGCCCGCTCTTGTCTTTTTCAACCTAATTGCAAAAGGAACCTGATAGCAATCAATGGCATCCAATCTAATAGCGGGCCTCCGTCATGCTTGTTTTTCATGCTCATGCTTCTACCACACTTGCCTTTACACGCTTTGATCCACCGGCTCGAATAACAGAGCCGCTCCGGGCAGCATCGCTTTGCACTCCCGCGTTGCCCCCTGGTGTTCCCGGAAATGGTCGAGGATATCCCAGCCTCGGGCGCAGGAACTTCAACAACCTCGAGTTCATCGCGCTTGTAAAAAACTTGATGGGCGGCCTCGACTTCTACCACGAAGAGCAACCGCAAGGGCTCCCCTTCGATCACGTGGCATGACAACAGGGTTCCCGTGGGCTACTTTCAATGACTGCGAGCCACTGAAAAAGGACAAGCTGAACGCAAGCGAAGCTTCCAGGCGTATAGGACTGGAGACTCGAGAGATCTTTTCAGTCGGGACAAGGTGGCTATAGCCGATACAGGGAGGATGCGGAAAACAAGGGCAAGGAGGTGCGCCAACGCGTTTAACGCCTCAACCTCCTTGCTGTGGAGCTCTACGCTGGCTTTACACTGCAAGGCTCTCCCAGGCCTCCTCCGCGCGAGGCGGCAGACGTCACAGTTGGGGCCCCAACTATGCCTCCGCGACATCGCCCTGGGACATCTTCAAGGGAAGGTGAAGGAGGATGACGAATGGGACGATTGGGGCCTGGTCGCTTGGTGGGCGGCGCTCGTCATTTGGAACGATGACTGGTTTTGGCAAGGCTCAACGAGCCATACGAGCCACCCAACTCGTGAAGAAGTTCTAATTCAAAGCTGGGCTTCATCCAAAGCACGGTCTTGAGCGGAATCTTGGCCGATGTTCACGGCCAAGTCCGTTCAATGCAGAGCGCGCAGCCCAAACGCAAATGCGTTTTCCTCCTCGAAACATTTTGGTGTGTGAAAGCTCGTGCAGAGCTGAGCCACAAAGCGGCGGCGGCATCACAAGTTCACCAACAAGTGTCGCGTTTTTGCCGCACAGTGTTGGCTTTAGAAGCATGAGCCTTTTCCATGCGCCACGCCAACACAACAAAAATACGTCGGCGTAGCGTATATTATGCGCCCACATATCCGCAAGCGCGACAACGCCAGCGCCAGCAAGCACCCGCAGACCTGGTTGGGAACCTGGCCTGGAGCCCGCCAGCGGGCAAGCGCAACAACACAACCCGAGTGCAGCATCTCAGCACGACAACCTGTCAGCATGTTAGCGTGACCCCTGCCAAGGCCCCAGCATAACAATTTGCCAGCATGACGCCACACAAGATTATCAGAGTGACACCAACGACATGCGTTGGCGCTTTCACTCCGTTAATGCGTTTCAGACAGTGAAATTTTAGAGCACAATTTTTGGTTTTTTGTTTTCCTGGCGGTGAATAATTTTGCAATTGTCGCTTGGTCTTGTGTGCGTTGTTTTTTTGGTTCCAGCCTGGACGTCCTCCATGTTGAAAGTTCAACCATTCAGACACCCGTCATATCCGAACTTTGTAGCCAGTCCCCAGAAAGAGTGCCAATTAGATGAGTACCGATTAGATGCGCCCTGCAGGACAGCTTTGAAACTTACCCCGGTGAAGCAGAGTTGGTTAAAGAACCAAGCGCCAGCCATTCCCAGAGAAAAACCAACCAGCAAGAAACCTTTGAAAAGTTGCGCTACCAATTTCCAAAGCATCAGGACTCAGGTTGAAAGATGGCACAATGGCCGTTTGATTTCACGGTGTGATCATCTCTGCAGGTGGCCGGCCGGTGTTTCTGCTTGATTGACCCAACACTCAGGACTGACAACGTGTTTTGCAAAGACTGCCGTTTTTGGCTTCGCACAGTGGAAGGTTAATGCAAATCCGACAGCTTTTGAATGCCGTCACTGCACTTCATGTGAAACTTGGTTAAGCATGAGTCGGACAAGGAAATGCACGAGGTGCCACCAGGTTTTCACCAATGGAACTGAGAGAAACCATGCAAGACCACCCAGCGAACAATTTGCACAAAGAAGCTCAGAGAGCTGGGAAAACAAAGCCAACAGAAGATGTTGTTGGATGTCCAATGTTTTCAGTAGAGATGGCCTAGGTCTGGAGTCTGGAGGAGCAGATTTGCAAATTCACGCCAGGAACAAAGGTCTTTTGGCAAAGTTTTTTCTGGACGCCTACGAAGGTCCGCCTGAGCCTCAAATGTTCACTTCGCCTCTAAGGTGGTGTGAGGACGCTACAAACGGAGCAAGGATGCTACTAGGGGCTCCTGGCCTTACTACTAGTAACACGTGCATCGCTACTAGGAACAAGAATCGCAAAAACAGCTATCAGAATCTTCTTTTGAGCTACTGATCGAGATGGCCTCCAACCTACTGGCGAAGGCCTCCAACCTAAGAGGAATGGCCTCCAACCTACTAGCAATGACCTCCAACCTGAGAGCGATGGTCTCCAACCCACTAGCGATGTGGAGCATCAAGCCCTTGACGAACTCGTTCCTGGACGAGTGACGAGTCACAGCCCATGCAGTCCTTTACGAGCACCCGTGCGATCGATGAGAGAAGAAACGCGTGAAAATGCGCGCGCTAAAATGCGTCTTTGAGCTTCAATTTTAACGCAAAAGCTGTAGACTGAACCATGAGCGCAAGTCAATTCAATATGAAGTGCAAAAGGAGACTTAAAAGTCGGTTCAATCCATGTTTGCCAATCAGTGATGTTTTCCACAAATCTATGACCCAAATGAATAGCGCACGCGCTTCTTTAAGGAAGCATGAGCTATCCTGCATCCTAGATGAGAGCTAACTTGTCGCCCTGACTGAATTAAGTAGGCGCCTACTTAACTTGGAGGCAGGGCGGGCTTGAGAAAAAGAGTTGAAACGTGATTTCGGGCCTCGCCCTGAAAAGGCTGTTTACAGAGCTGATCGAGCAAAAGACAGGAGCCGTGAAAAACTCTTCTCCCAATTGCCATCCATTCGAATACGGACAACAACCTGTCCCGTTGGTCGGCTACGGCATCCTTCACGTGTGTCAATTCGTCGTACAAGTAGTCGGGTCCACGACGTTTGTTTCTTAGATAGTGGCCACATGTCAAACAGCTACTAGCTACTAGTAGCTTCTTGTTAGTAGTAATGAGATGCTTAACAAGCTGGGCCAGACTGAGCACAACTTCCACCACTGTCCCACTTACACGTGACATTTGTTGGTGCTCACATTCAAGAATGGTTCTGCTACAGCTGAGGCATGGCGGCTTCCGAGACACGCGCAGCCACACTATGCAAGAGCCGGAAAGCCCAGACACGAAGCAGCCAGAACCAAACACGGCAGAATGAAACCAACCACGCCACATGGAGTAGCAACTAAATATAGTCTTAGAAACAAGTGCCTTACTAGTAGTAACAAGAAGCTAGTAGAAACAAGTGCCTTACTACTAGCAACAAGAATTTAATTAGAATTGTAATTACAAGCTTCTTGTTACTACTAGTAAGGCACCTGTTACTACTTGCGATGCACTTGTTACTACAAGCTTCTTGTTACTACCAGTAAGGCACCTGTTACTAGTCTTAGAAATCGAGTTGTGACTTGCAGCCGGTTCGATCGAGTCACATGTTGGCATGTGCACTTACCTTGAGCCACGGCTCGCCTCAAGAAAAGCGCGCTGCTAACGCGCAGCATAGTTTCAGCTTGCCCAGAAGCTGACCATTTTCGTTGCAAACCCATAGGGCCACCTATCTCCATGCACTCTTGGGGGCTTCAACCACTACCCGTTTGGGGGCGTTGCATTGATAGTGGAGCGCTCTCTCCAGCGCTGTTGACGTGGTCTTTGGCAAGCCCTGCTTCGCCTGGAGCCAACGACGAGCGGGCAGACGTCCTTGAGAACAAGGTTTAGCACTGGAAAAGCATCCCTGGAAAGAGAAGAGCCTCATTTGTGGTCAGCCAGGAGCCCATAGTAGCGTCCTTGCTCCTAGTAACGATGCCAGGAGCCCCTAGTAGCATCCTTGCTCCCAGGAACCCCTAGTAGCGTCCTTGCTCCTAGTAGCGATGCCAGGAGCCCTTACTAGCGTCCTTGCTCCTAGTAACGATGCCAGGAGCCGCTAGTAGCATCCTTGCTCCCAGGAACCCCTAGTAGCGTCCTTGCTCCTAGTAGCGATGCCAGGAGCCCTTAGTAGCGTCCTTGCTCCTAGTAACGATGCCAGGAGCCCCTAGTAGCGTCCATGCTCCCAGGAACTCCTGGTAGCGTCCTTGCTCCTGGTAGCGATGCCAGGAGCCCCTAGTAGCGTCCATGCTCCCAGTAGCAATGCCCTCCAACCAAATAGTTGGCCCTACACCTGTGGCCCTAACGATGGCACAACTTGTGCAGAGACGGGGTTTTGTCGCCCAAAAGGGGTGCAAACAGATGAGCTTCGGTTCATATCATGTTTATGTCGTTTGCCTGCCAAGACTTATGGAGCGTGGCAGCTCTGTGGCCATGATACCCGGAGCCTATCAAGAAGCCACGGCCTTCACCTACGGCCGGGAGCGTGTGGCCAGAAACCCACCTCTGGCAGTCCAAGCGTTCTTGTTGCTTGAATTTTCTTGGCTTTGGCAGACAATCAACGAATGTGCACTTGTGTTGTCAACGTCGAATGACTTCTGAGGCTTTGGCGCGACGCAAAGGTTTTGTGAAGTGCCGTAGCATTGGTTTGTTTTTTCACATTGTTTGAGGTTCTCTCCGCAAGGCGTGTTGATCACGCACTCCAATTTTTCAGTCAGCGGTACTGTAAATGTTGGAGCTGAAGCAACACGCTTAAGAAGTTCACAGGGCACCTGGTTGAAGGCAAGATTTAGAACCATGACTCTCAGCCAAGAGAGAACGAGGTACTGCCTGCAATATGGGTATCGGTTGCATCCGGTGTTCAGTGCTGAGATCGCAGTCATGGAAACGTATTGATGCATGACGGCTGTGACAAGCTCCGGTCTTTTCGCTCCCGAGGTACACCTTCGGCGAGAGCGAGACGCCCGAAACTGAAGGAACTGAGAGAGAGAGAGAACGATGCCCTTTGCTCCTAGTAGCATCCTTGTTCCTAGTAGAAAGCAGAAAGGAAGAAAGAAGAGGAGCAAATGCCCAGACCAAAACTGAAAACGGAATCGGACATGAAAACGTTTGTGACACGTGGTCCCGCTGGGCATCGTCGCGCTCGCACGCCAGGCTTTCACTGGACTTAAACGGCGCTTCGAGACTGAAAACCAGACGGTAAAGACCAAGCAGTTTTTGCAGCACTTAGGTTGGAGGCCATCGCTACTAGGGTGGAGGCCAAAAACTATTAGTAGCAAGAAGCTACTAGGGTGGGGGGTAACACAGGAGGGTTGACGCCAAGAAGCGTGTTGACAACATGTTTGTGGCCCCACCTCGCGACCACCTCCAACCACAGCACATCAACCCCGCACTGTGCAGCCCAGCCCATTGCCACATCGAGGATGACGAAAAGCATGATTCTGCTCGGAAGTGCAGGGTGCATGCTTTCGGATTAAGCTGCACAAACGTCAACGTGCACATCTCACACACCACTGTGAGCAGTGACGTTGCGTGGGTTTTTGTTGAAGAGGTAGTACCTAGCGGCCTAGCTGGCCCAGCGGTCTAGCTGAGGTACTACACAGCTTGTGGCTTTGAGTGGTTTCGTTTATGGTCGCTCGGATGCAAAAAATATGAAGCCGACGACGTTCCTCCGAGCAACTGTCCCCCGAATTTCGATGGTGAAGAAACGGAAAGCAAAAGCCAAAAGCAAAGTGCGCTAGGAGCAAGAACTAGCTGGCCTTACTAGTAACAGGTGCATCGCTACTAGGAACAGGTGCCTTACTAGTAGTAACAATGTTTGCTACTAGTAACAAGTGCCACGCTACTAATAACAAGTGCATCGCTGGTTTTTTGAAACGGAAGTTGACGGTCGAAGGTTGGAGTTCGGCTAAGTTACAAGTAGACCGGAAGACTCACTGACATCGCTACCCGCTACGTTCGAGCTTACAGTTATTTCATCCATTCGGGTCCGAATTGAACCAAATCATCGAGTTTCCTTGAAGCGCGAGCTATCCTGCGTCCAAGGTAAGTAGCTGTTAGCTATTCCGACCTCAGCTACTACCTCCTAGCGGCCTACCCCACCCCCGTTCCTATACAAAAAGAAAGACTTGTTCCTAGTAGCTTCTTGCTCCTAGTAGTAAGGCCAGGAGCCCCTAGTAGCTTCTTGTTACTACTAGTAAGGCACTTGTTACTAGTAGCTTCTTGTTCCTATACATAAACACGGTAATTTCCTACCTGACTCAAACAGATTTCTCAACGAACTGTCCATGCGTTTGGTTATATTGGCCATCATCGGACAAATCTTCAAAGTCGGAGATTTCTTCAAACTCTTCCAGATCGCATTCAAAGGCTTGAAAGCGCATCGGCATCACCTGTGCTGGCCAGCTGGTCAATCAAACCTACTAGCGATGGCCTCCAACTCTGCAAGAGAACGAAGGCTTTCACTGACTTCAAGGTGGTGTTTGCACCCACCTCCTCAAAAGCAGCCATCAGACGATTCACAAATGACTGTTCCGACCCGTCTGATTTTTTTGTTTTGTCAAAGAGCTCAAACGCCTTCAACGCTGCAGAATCCTCCCAAGTCGACGGCGACAACAATTGTTTCATTCCATTGCCACCGTTGCAAGCAATTCCGGTTTCTTTCTCGATGCCATGTGGTGCCTTTGCAAGGTCAGCCTTGGCGCAAGCATTTGTTCGCGCTTTTCGGGCAGATTCCGAAAACGGAAAGAGTTCACCTTGGCCATTAACAAGTAACAGGAAGCTGCTAGGGGCTCCCGGAATCGCTACTAGGAGCGATCGGACGCTACTAGGGGCCCCTGGCCATTTCTACTAGGAACACGAGGACGCTACTCGTGACAAAGGGCATCCGTGGTCAGCGAAAGATCAGAAGGAGAGTCTTCAAAAGCTTGCAGCAAGAATGCTCCTAGTAGCGATGCCAGGAGCCCCTAGTAGCGTCCGATCGCTCCTAGTAGCGATGCCCTTTGCTCCTAGTAGCTTCGTGTTACTTGTTAAGATTCCCACGAAAAATCTAGAGACCACATGAATAGTGCGAGCGCTTCTTTAAGGAAGCGTGAACTATCCTGCGTCCTACCTATAGGGGAGCGTCCCAGTTGCGGCCTACCCCCCCGGCCTTTAAAAAACAAGAAAACCATAAAATCAATACTGAACATAAAAACATAAACAAGATGGAGCCCACACAGCCGGTCAAATCCTTTTTTTCACGCTCCGGCTCGGTAACGCAAGGCTGGTTAGCCACATGGGCAAGCGAATCAGGGACATCATGCGCCGGGGGCTCCACCACCAAGCTCCGTAGCATTCATGAAGGGTCTTCCTTTTGCATTCAAATCAAGCACTGGCGTAAAGGTTGTGGCAGAAACAATGGCACTGTCCCAAAGTCTCGAAAATATGCACTGAAAATTGTAACCCCGCGTCCATATGATACAGAGAAATCTACAACTGCGGCGTCTAGTCTTCTTGTAAGTAGGAGTGCAACACCGTGCGTTGTTGCGTCTCACCTGCATCAACAAGAAGCATGTAATACACGCGCACAACGGAAGTGACTAGAACTGTCCTGGATAATTTAATTTTCCAAAAACCTCATGGGTCTTTCGTAAACACGAGTCAGTAAGGAGATGAATTACAATTCTAAACGGTTTGGATGTCTCACCAGAGCCTCGAACAGCGGACGTTTGGGTCCCAATTATTTCCAGCAACGATGAAGCCAAGATCGAGCTCTGTGGCCAAAGCAACAACGTCGACGTCTGTCGCCCAATTAGTAGCAGAACGCACTCTCTTGCTCCTCGTCATCATGGAGCTGTCACCCTCTTTGTAGCGAACTAGCATGGCGCCGTCCACCACTTCTGCTCCGAGGACATCATTGGCGCCTCGCCTTTCAAGAAAGCAAAAGGAGAACCGCGAAGTAGTGTGGTCATGGACCAGTCGTCCAGCCACGTCCCCGCAGCTTCCCTCGTCAAACATCCGGCCACGAAGTCCAAGAATGCCTTTAGTGTCTTGGCATGCATGTGTCGCCCGACAATTTTGCGGAGAGCAGCCGCGACAGTGACTCGGCCGTCCCAGTCAGCCACGTAAGGTTCAAGAGTCGTGGGTGGACGGCTCGCGCCTGCATCAGCACTCGCCGCCCCCACCACGTTCGGCGGCAAACACACGCAGAGCCCCGTGTTCTCGGAAAAATTGCGCCGTGGGAGCGGCGACCTCCTCCAATGAAAGAGACCAGACATTGCAAAACTCTGTTCGCAGCTGACGCCACTTGGTAGGGTCGTACTTCCTTTTGGTTCCCTTAGACTTAGTCGCCACGGTCGCCTTCATAGCCGCCGTCCAAGACCCTGGGGCGTACTGAAAGCGACCCTCTGCGTCGGCCGCGGTAGGTGTTCCGTGGCTGGAAAACCAGGCAGATGTCTGCGAGCTTCTTCAAACTCGGCAATACACGCAGGTGGATTAGTTTGAAAGATAGAGAAATCGATATCGCCTTCTGGCATCTCCGGTAAATTGCAAAACAAGGAACACTCGAGAGCTTGAGCGCGTCCAAGGATCATGTACAAGCGCTGCGTATAATCGTCTGCCGAAGAGTAATCTGGCTTCGAAAAAACAATTGCGCGCCCAACTCCTTTGATGGTCTTGCCTTGGGCATTGTTGTAGGTTCCAGCAGCCAGGGTAGCAAGAGGAACCTGTATCCTAACTGCGTCCAACATCAAGGCCCCTTTGCGATGTAATTGCACGCGGAAAGAATCTTCACTTGGTTCCAAATGCCACACTCCAGGCAGAAGCTGTCTAGTATAATCTTCTTGCTGATCCTGCTACAAGTCAGGTGTGACTCAGAGATGCATGGTTCCTACAGAAGAGAGTGTTAGATTAAACTGATGTTCACAAACTGTGCAGGACACCTGTCTTTTGTCACATCCGTGTCATGACTTTCATGCTAAATAGCTGTAGACCCCAGCCTCAATACGCAAGGTAATCGAGGCAAGGAGATATAGTCTAAGCGAACATATCCAGTCTCCCAGCACATCTGACCCCGCAGGCCCGCAGGGACACCACCACCGGCGGGTGCGCCAGGCACACCAAAGCGTTCATTGGGACGAAATTGAATGGCGACCACCTCGGCCAGACACTTTTGCAGGATTTCTGGTGGCAAGAGTTTCTTCGTCACCTTCACCTTCAAGCCCAAGTGCAACGGTAGAAACGACATGAGGTTGCCAGTTTTACTTGCCATGTTGGTCAAGCCCAGAATCTCGTGCAGAATGGGTTTGACGTTGGTGAACTCACTTAGATGCACCAAATTCACTGCTTGAACGTAGTAGAGCAGACGACCTTTGTCGTGTAGCAACGACGTCAAGAAGGGTTCCTGCTTGGTGAAAACCGCTCCGAAGCGAGACTGAAAGGACCTCGAAAGATAAGTCGGGAAGTGTCGACAAATCAGCTGGGGACGTCCAGTGTGGGTCTTGCAGAAAGCTGCAACACCAAAGCTTGCGCGGGCAGAGTCGTACGCGCACAACTGCTGGAGACGAGCCACCTGGTCCCAGTTCACTGCGCTGAAGACACCGCGCGCGAAGAAACCTGGAGGACCGGACCGGTGGGTGCGAAGACATTGTGTAGTCCTCCTTCGGAGCCGCAGACAAAAGTCGACCTCCGACCACTCGCATCGTCTCCAAGAGCTCGGCCAACGGATCTCCATTTCCGAAAGCGGTGAGAGCCTCTGAACAAGATGACCTGTTTCAGAAAGGTGCGAAAGACTGCAGGTCCATGTTCATCGATGTCGACTTTCTTCCTGCGCTGTTGGTCGTCCATCTTCTCGTATCGGGGCGCCCCAGGAACTTCAACGCCGAAGGCTTCCATGAGGGATCTGGCTCGCACGGGGTTCAGCTGAAGGAAGTCACCAGCCAAAATCTGACATAAGAGATTGCCGAAGATGTTGCTCAGAGAATCCTCCGGAGAAAGGTCCAAACGACCATAGCAGGCCGATCCGTGTAGCGCTGCCAACAAGTTCGGTGCAGTCAGGCTAATCTCATCAACAAACACCAGTGAAAGCCGCCACCGCTTACGCTGCAAAGCCTCCTTCTTGGTCTTAGATGGTTTTTGCAGCAAGAGCTCTTGCGCCCGTGTGAGGCCAGCCATATGGTGGAACGCACTTCCTCCTATGAGTCGCAGCGACCCCTCTGGTGGTGCCAGGTAGAAACTCGTTGTAGATCGGGAGGATAACTTCTTTAGAAAGTTTTTTGCCGCTTCCTCCAGCTCCGTGTACAAAAATACGCCCCACCATGTCCCACGTGGCCTCACAAGCAACATCCAAGTCCAAATCTATACTTGCCACAACTAGCATGATCATTGTATAAATGAATTCGTATATACTTGGAGTGTTCTACACAAGAATCATTGCATCATCCCTACAATTTGTGACGATGTCAAAATTTAGCTCCATCGCCATCATCGCACGCGCGCGCGTGAAATTTTGCCATCTACAACCCTTCTCAACCAAAGCCAACAACGGATCGAGTCCAGTGCGATCACCGAAGCAATGAGTGAGCCAGCCCGGCTTCGTTGGCTTTGCTGCAAGGGTGCGATAGCGAGGATCACGGCATTGTATTGATCTTGAGAGATTGCATACTGCGCGGGAGGTGCTGCAATCTGTTTCAACGTCCACCGGACACTGCCATTTGCTCCATCTTGGTGCGCTAGCTGGAGCACAGGTAGCTTCTGCTGCAGTTCCTCATGTTTCAGAGCACATTGCTTCACGAATTCAGCCGAACACTTGGTGCTGGAACTTGTTCTTCCTGGACCGCTGGTTTTCACCACTCAGTCTGTGAGCGAAGCCTAACACATCTTTTTGACTCACTGGAGCTCAGGTTTGATCGGGCAATCGTCCACATCGAGATCGGATCGATCTTCCACGCCGCCCACATCCACAAACTCAGCCCTCGCTCCCAAATCGTCATCTTTGTGAGGAGTGACTTTGTCCCCTTGCGTCGGTCGGAGTCTCCTACGAGCTTCCGTCATCAAATCCAAATTAGCGCTCACCTCTCGACTGACGAGCGTAATTTGGCCACACGGTCTGTCGCGACACACAAACAGCAAACCCCTCTCTGTGGTAGCGCAGGTAGCGTACCGGGCTCGATCGATATAATTCGAATACTCTGTATTCAAAGTCTTTCCTTTTTTGCACTGGTATTCAGTGTAGTCGTCTTGGGCTTGAGCCAAACAGTCATTCGACCGTTTGGACATGGTGAAAAGCTCGCTGCGCTCGGTCCTTTCTTAGACTAGAAACAAAAGAGAAAACAATCGTGCATCAACGGTCTTCCAAACATGAGCAAGCAACGGACCTGAAAGATTGGGATCGTCAACTGTAACTCAAAAGCACATTGGTTCATCAGCATCTCTCTCAAACAATTACTGATCTCAAAAACATGTTCACTCAACTTCAACTGCGGCAAGGTGGTGCACGTCCTTCTTCTGGAACCATTCACGCGCACAAACAACCACAAGTCACACGTGTTGACAACCGACGAGCATGACCCATGCGAGCTGTTGCCACTGAAACTAACGACCACATATAGTAGACGCCTGTCTTCACATATCGTCTCACAAGTCGAAGATGTGTCTATGACACATGCAGTCACTAAAGAGAAACACCCGATCGAAGTGTGAGTAGACACTGTGAAGTGTTTTCAGCTGCACACATAGCGTTGCCACACAACTCCTGCTCGCGCGTCAAGTGCCAAACTGGTGACACACACGTCAACACCAATCCTTCTTTCCCAATGTGGAGGTCGGCCTCCACCAATCATAAGCTGTCGCAACAACTTCTGTCATGTAATGACTTGAAACATCTGTTCAACGTGACAACCCACGACGATGGAAACAAGGGACGGTGTTCACTGAACCTGATCTATAAATCAGAACTCCAAGCCACCGACGCCTACTCCAAGGCAGTCTGCATTCTAGGGTCTCAACTAGGGACATTGCGTCCTAAGGTCCTGATATCTGAATATCTAGGTTCGGCGCTTGTAAAATGTATATGCTTGCAGCAGCGCTTGAATTCTCACACATTGTTCCTCACTTGGGTGACGAGTGAAGTGCAAACTTCTGTGCGACGTTTTGCGTTTTGGTCTTTTCGACCTTTCCCGTTTCGGGAAGTCTGATGTGTTTCATGAAGCCTCTCGTCAACTTTTAGGACCTTTCGAGTCGTCTGAAACATGTGGGGTGCACTCGTTCGTTCACGGTTTACATGTTTCCACACTCTCACCGCGTTTACGCCAGCATGTTTCGCGCTCCCCAGTGGCACGGCGCCAGGCCAACGCACTTCCCACCACGCAAATCCCAATGGCAATGCGACGTCGCGAACGTAATTTCGCCACACGGTCTGTCCCAACACACGACCAGCAAACGTATCACATGATACCACTAAACATGCCCGCTCGCCAGCAACACGCCGCGTTCACGCCAGCATGTTTCGCGCTCGCATGTGGCACGGCGCCGCGCAAGCGCACTTTCCACCAAGGCTGCGCAAGTCCGCAGGGCACAGGCCAGGCTTCGAGTCACGCTTCGAGTCTGCAAAACGAGCGTTTCGTACGAGACTTCCTCCAACAGTCACACGTCAAGTCTCCAAAACGAGCGTTTCGCACGACTTCCTCAAAAACTCACATGTCCAAGTCTGCAAAACGAGCGTTTCGTAGAGACGTCCTCCAAAAGTCACGCGGAAACACCCATCGGAGCACACACATCACGCATCCCTGCCAAGCAGTTTTGGGATTGCAGCCCCTCCAAACAACATACGCTCACACGCCAATCCCAATGTCACTGCGACATTCACCTCCACCATAACTCGCAACCTCACAATTCCCACGCGCCTGCCACGAAACTGTCCGGGTCCACGCGCCTAATGCGCACAAAGCACTGCGCCTGCCACGAAATGTCACCTCTGTCACACCCCGCAAATTCACGATTCCCGATTCCCTCCGCCTGCCACGAAAAGTGACAATATCATATCATGTGAGCCTCAACAAAATTTGCACCGCACCACACGTTTGGGATGACTTCGACCCGTTCTGAGAACACTCCCAACCACCAAAAATCAAATCGTCGTTTCAGCTGAGGCTGAGACTTGTCACGAAAACAGAGGTTCGATGCAACGCCCTGAAACGCAAATCCCGATGGCACGGCCACGTCCAACACCCCAAAAACACCACTCTTCAAATGCTAATCCCAATGGAACTGCGCAGAAAACTGCGGATCTCACAAAACGCTGCGCCTGCGCAGTGAATGAAATCATCCTCCACACTTCAACATCTTAGATTTCCACACGTTTCCACGCTACTTCACACGAATCTGACACGTCGCGTTTCCATCCGAAATCCTCTCCAAAAGCTTCCCCCAATGGCAGCGCCTTAGCGCTCCACCACGAACGGCTGCAAACGGTTGCGGACGGCTGCGGACGCTCACGCAACACGTCGCGAACAAGATCCTACCCAGACCCCCAGAGTTAAACGAGAACCCTTCGGGAATATAAAGATTGTGGGTTTTTAAAGTAAGCTCATTTTATCAAACAAAAAAACTTTATAATGTCTAGGGACACTGTTTCACGATGCGTTTGCGTGCCGAGGCTCAATCGTAAAGGAATCCCGACCGTCGCCTTTCGGGGCTTGCCGCTGCTCGTCTCAAAGACGAAAAACTGGATGCCAGGTTTCAAAGAGAGATGGCCTCCAACACCTAGCGATGAGATGCTTGAGGTTTTGTTGTGGGTTTTCTTTTGTCCTGCAGGTGTTGCATGTTTGACAAGCATTCGGAGGGAGAAGAAGCGTTCGGAGGGTGGGAAATAGTTGGGAACGAGGTGGTGCCCCTTACTGCCCCGAAGCGACGTCGAGGCGGTGCAGCCTTCCAATGGTGAAACGCGACTGCTTGCAGCAAGAATGCTACCAGTAGTGATGCTCTTTGTTCCTAGTAGCATCCTTGCTCCTAGTAGCATGTGTTCATTTGATTTCACTTGCGCTCCAAAACTGCAAATCCGAAAGAATGCAACAGCCGAGCTGAAAGCTTGACCCCCAAAATGGCAAGTAACAGAGTAAGAAAGGCTTTGAGAAGGTTTTAGGGGAGGAGGTGTGACGTAATTTTGTGATCGCGTGCCAAGACGCTTCCATCGCAGATGTTGACATTCGTGGGTCCAGCGTTGGAGCTGCCACAGATCTCCCATCCATCGCCACAAGAGGCGTGAAGAAAGCAAACCACAGCAACACAGGCATGAGAGCTAAGTTTGCTAAGTGCACTGAAATCGACCACATGTTGCGGCCTGATATGTTATGAAGAACAAACACGTGTTTGGAACTGTGAGCTGTTTGATGCTTGCTGATCCAAGTTCCCCTTGGCGCAGGTGGATGAATGGCACGCAAGGTACATTGATGCCTTGGTCAGCTCCTCAAATCGAAGCAAAAAGGAGTTTAATTAAGTTCTTTGACCAACGGCTTTGGTGCAGGTAGCTCTTTTCGACAAGCACAAGGCAGAGGTGGGGCCCGCAGGGCAATGCCGAAACGTCGCCCACAATGCCAGCATGTGAACGCTACGAACGGAGCAAAGGGCATCGCTACTAGGGGCTCCTGGCCTTACTACTAGGAACAAGTTCGCTACTAGAAACAATATATAAATTTGGCTAAGGTTAAAGTTAAATTAGAATTGAGATTAATAGCAATTGATGCTAATAGGAGGCTAAATTAGAACTGTAGTAGATTGGAGGCCGTCACAAGTAGGTTGAAGGCCATCCCTCTTAGGGTGGAGGACATCACTCTTGCTAGTAACGTCCTTCAGGCAGGGAAACCTGCAGCAGTGCTTGAGATTGTCTGAGCCACTCCGTGCTTCACGGTTTCATTTTCCCATGTGGCAGACAAGGTCTTCTCGAAGTTCGGACGTTTCAATTTTGATGCGGGAAGTTCTTCGAATTTCCAAAGTTCTTCTTGACTTGCCTAGCGAGTCACTGCATGTCGAATCCAAATACACCACAGTTGCCACTGCATTGGCAAAATATAAGTGCGACGCTGTTGCTCCGCCACGCTGTTGGCAAGTAAATTGCACCGAGTGGGCTAGCTTAGTTGCACTTGGCTTCAAGAAGAGTTCTTGTTTTCCTACCTAGACTTTGCTTTGGTGGCTGGCTTCTGGAAAAAGTAATTCCATGTGAAGCAATCGCTTCTAGCCATGGTATGAATGTGGCTAAGGTTGGTGTTGTGAGAACACAACGAAGGTAACTTGTTGGAGCAAATTAAGTGATACAACACCTAAAATTAGATGGATCTTGTCAAGAATGTCAAACTTCAAGAGGCTGAAAACTTTGGTACGCTTCTGGATTGACATCCCGGCGCGCTTATTTTCCGCTGCTCCCACGACTCTTCGGGTCACGCGGCTTGAGCCAAGATTCGGTCAATCTTAACGTGTGCGGTCACATGGATAAAGGTGTTCTTGACTGCAGTCAAGGGTGGCCAAAAACATGAACACTATTGTTCAAGGAAGCAACTTCAAGAAGTGACTTTTTCAGATTCAGGGCTGTGTTCCCAATGGTCCAAGATTACATGCGGCCTGATGCGGCCGCATGCAATCTGATGCGGCTCCACACTTGGTTGGAGTCCTCAAAGCTCTTTCTCCCACAGATCTGGTGTAGAAGGAAGGAAATCATCATCCTTGAGTCAGCGTGCATGGAGCGGTGGTGTCCTCTTTGAGCGGCAGGCCGATAGCCTGGAAATCCTCGAAGCAGCCCGCAAAGGCAGAACTCATAGAGCTCATCGAAGCAGTCACCTTGCAAACAGAGTGGCGTGCATTGACAAGAAAATCAGCGGCCTCCTTCCCAAGATTGTCAACCGCGATCGCACTGAAGCTCTTTGACTGGAGCATGGCGCACGGGACGCCTCAAGGTGAGAGCGGCTCATCTCAGATGGAAGCTGGATGCAGGCTTCTGGGAGCTTTGCTATGAGCTGGCGGACATCGGCACGAAGGTGGTGGCACCTCGGCGCACGCAGAACTTCATGAGGAATATGAAGACAGCAGGAGCCAACGCACAGGAGGACTACGAGGACCAACAACCAAAGGAGAGTAATGGATTGTTGACAGCTTTTGGAGTGCTGATGCTCATCCTTGGCGTGCTCTTCATGAAGATTGTCCAGAAGCGTTACCGATGGGACGAATGGAAGCATCCTTGTGGATCCCTGCTTCCGAAATCGCTGTCCCCGTCTTGGTGTGTGGCAGGCTGAGTTGAAAGAGCTTGATGCAGCTCTCAAAGTCGCTCCCTCCGCCAGCACATTAGTGCCGCCTTCCGTGACGCCAATTCGTTTAAGGTATAATATTCTTAAAAGGTGAAAAGGCGCGTACGCCAAACTTGACACAGCTTTGTAATACCACTGTTACGAAAGCATAACACCTTTGGAATGCAGCGTGTTGTATTGACACCACTGTGCACACCACTGTGCTCGGTAGCTTGACCATTTGTAATTGACAGCAGTTTCGCCATGCCTCCCGTACAACAGTGTGCAGAGTAGGCTCTGCTCAGAGGTGTCGTAATCGCGGCACCGATGAGAAGGCATTGGCGACGTTGGCTGGGATCCACACAACCTTGGGACAATTTAATATTCTTTTCGGTGTTTGTGATCGTAGGTTTGGAAGTTTTGTTGCCGGATTGGGATATAAAGAGCTTCGTGACTCTGCAAGAGAATCATCTCGCAGCCAAAAAGTCTCTAATCGACTGGGAAGTCCTCTAACATTCCCAGGAATGAGGGACATTGATTGGTGCTGCGGTGTAGAGCTTTATTGATAACCCGGAAGTCGCTAACAAGGCAAACATCATTTAAGTGGCCGAAGACTAAAACGGTTGTTGCATCGAGGGCCCGTACCGGTAGGCTCGGAGAGCAGGCTGAAAAGGCAAGGCAAACAGCAAGGGGCCAAGCGGATCGCCTTCCTGCACACTAGCTTCAGAGGTGAACATATATTGCCATGAAAGAGCAAATTACTATGGTGACCGTAGCACCATTCCCCCTAAGGGGCGAGGGCCGGCAAGTGTAATTGGACCTCCCGGAGGAGGGTAATTGAACGCATTGGAAAAGTCGACCTTGAGGAAAACATCAGTGACGTGCCCCCAAACGGCGGAAGAACTATTGTCGAAAGATATGGATAGGCGCAGACGGCGCGGGACCTGCTATTTGTAAGCCCGCAGCTTGGATGCCTTGTTTGTGGGTTACTGATGGCCTCCCGCTTCCACGGATGCCATTCTCGGTTCTGGCCGTCGGCTTGAGCTGCTGTCCCTCCCTGGCTCCTGAGCCGATTTTGCGCTGCCTTGGTTGCCCCTCCCTTGCTTGAGAAAAGCGACGCTGTCTTTGCCAAACACCGGCAGCCACTTTGTGCTCTGATCAACCTCGTGATCTCAGTCCTAACCGAGCAGTACAACATAACCTTCTCGATCTTGGCACCGGCACCGACCTGGCATTGCACAAGTCATCGTTTTCTAAGATCAATTGGCTCAGCAACATCCATTTGGAGATGCTATCCGGAATTTGCATTCTTAAATTTGAATGTTTCCTTGTTGCTTTGGACCTCTGGTGTCCTGGCCTGGGAGGGCATGGGCGGGCTGTGGCCCTGGACCCGGTGCGCCCATGGCGCCCTCTGCCTCCTACTGTGGTGGAGCTGGCCCTTCAGAGTTGCCTCTGCTTGAGCTGCCAGCCCCGCCTTGCCACCCTTCCATGGGAAGGGTTCGGGCAGCAACGCCAACTTTCCCACAAGCGTCACATCAATCGTGATCTGGTGCTTGAGGACGTTGATAGGTGCTGGATTCTTCAGAAATCCCATTTTCATCCTTTAGGAGGAGACATGTCTAATTGACGTACCCCACCAAGCCAAGGACAGAGTAATACCAACGGCGTTGCGTCTTGCAAAGACCACGCCAAACTGGAGACAGAAGGCCCATGCAAACAAGGAATATATTTCTTATCGACTACTAGGAAACAAATTGATGGCAAAGATCAGGAAGAAAAAGGGTGAAGTGTGTAAGACACACATGTCGGTGACTGACGACAGGCTTTCATACAAGAAAAGATTAAGGAACTTCAAAAAGCTTCTTTACCCAATGACGTCTGGCTCTCTGATGAAGAAGGAATGCAGACCCGACAAGGATCCTCAACATTCATTTATCTTGACCTGAAAGAAGAACAAGGAGGGGACGCCCGAGACTGATCACCCAAGGATTCAAAATTCCTGATGCGCTGCCTGGTGCCTTCAGTACAAATGCCCCGATATTGACCAGACAGTCAAGGGACATGATCCTGTCATCTTGCCAGATACTTGTGGAGGACTTTTACCAGTGACATCACCACAACAACTTCGACTAATAATTCCAACAGAATGATTGCCCAGATCCAGAATCATTTTTGGAATTACAATAAGGTGATTTAACGTTGATGAAGCAGATGTATGCATTGTGCGATGCCCTGAAAGCTTAATGAGAGAATTCTGAGGGCGGGAGGTGGAAACATCCAGCGTCATCTCTTTCTGCTCTACCGCGTGGAGAGAGATTCTGCCTGCGTCTTTGGAATCAACGTAGACGATCTTATGGGCCAAGTTTCATGGACACCAAACAAAAAGTTGCAGGAAATCTTCACATTTCGAGAGGGGTAGGATTGCGGTAGCCAGGTTGACTGTGAAGAGGATGATGGGAGGGATACATCCACAAAGTCAACCGATCCCGACAAGCAAGGAAAAGACTGCCAGACACTCCCGGGCAGTAACAGAAACGGAACGATCCATAAAGTTCTCCAAACCTACAAGTTGGCATGTCCCAGTTGGTTGTTGAGACCTCCTGAGTTACCATTAACGATTCGCTAAGGAGTATCTTGATGTTGCCCTGCAACACAGAAAAGGATGAAATGACCTTCATTGCGTATAGTGACGCTTCCTTGGCGACCAGATGGGATTTGAGTAAGCATATAGGGAGGTTACAACCTTATCGATGGAATATTGATATTATTGGATAACGTCAATATTGATTACGTGGAGTGTATTCCCATTTATTTTTTAAGAAATACATACCTCGGTCGAAGATGGAAGGAACGCATTGGGCGTAGATTGGAACGATAGCTGGCTCCCGTGCTACCTAATAGACGAAATGTCAAAATTCCGGACAAAATTAAGATTTTTTTTGTCATCGATATGATTTATACATTATATAACCTATTCATTTTTGAATCTTTCGTCGCGCGCCGCCCTTGGTTATATGGAAAAGGTCGTAATCGACGAATCTTCGTGAACGAATTTAATTGGCATTTTACGAACTTAGTGTCGGAAAACACCCCGCTTTTCTAATATAAATCTTCTAAGAAAATTTTGTTATTTACGAAAGCTAGTTGGAATTACTTTTGTGATAGTAAGGTTTCGTTCGACCGGATACAAATCTTAATTCTTGATTTTTTAGGTCGAAGATTTCCCTTCCTTCTTCCTTTCTCCCTACCTCTTTTCTCTTTACCTCCTTCCCTTTCCTCCTCCTTATTTTCTTCTCATTTTCTTTCTTTCCCTCTTCCCTCCTCCTTCTTCGCAAGTTCGACTCCGTTTTGTTGTCGCTCTTTGGCATGCGGTTAGCGTTACGTATTTTACGGCCGTATTCGTTTATTTTCACTCTCACTATTTCATTATCTTTTTCTTATCTCTTTCATTTCTCTTTTCTCTCGCAGGAGGATCCGGGCAAAGAGCTATATATAAAGGATTTTTTATCCTTGCTTCTAAAAAGAATGTCGTGTTTTTTCTTACCTCGCTGCCCTCTACTTTCCCATTCTGGAGCGTTACCTTTCGTTTCTCCTTGGCCTTAAATTAAGAAATATTGGCGATTAATTGTATATTTATAACTGCACCTACTAGATTGTCATTAATTATTCGATTATTACGATAATTATGGTATTTAAGGATATAAATTAGGATACATATTTATTTGTGGTATAAAATCCATGGATGAGGATACGATGAAAAGAATGATATTGTAATTGGATGTTTATATTAATG